ATCTCACCCATCATCAAGAATGCCGTCTCACTGCCACAGCTAAATGAGGGGACATACGATGGTGGTGGCAGTGGCCGGGGCTTGACCAGCAAGTTCTCCTTCAAAAGTGCCTCCAACAGCTTCTCCAAAACGCACCAGGCCTACGGTGAGTGAAGCGCGGGGCAGAGGCTGGTGCCCAGGCACTGCGCATCCTCTGCAGCCCTTCTCCATTGCCCCATGCCTCAGTTTCCCCACTGAGGGACTTTAGGCTCTCAGCAGAGACAGGACATTTAAGAGTCCCCAGTCCTGGTAATCCCTGTGAGGAGATAACTCCAACCTTGCTTTCAACCGCGGTCCTTGCTCCTGCCCTTGGAGGGTCTCTTCCCAGAGTGCCCCCCAAAGTGGGGCATGGGTGGTTTCTCCTCCTCTCCCTCCCCCGTAGCCCCACACAGCTGGCAACCTGTGTGGAGTAGTTGTAAGGGGGTCCCCGCCATTGCCCTCGAGCCCTACACCTTCCCCAGGAGCAGCCTCCCCAAGGAAACCAAGAGGGTGCAGTGGGGCAATGCCCACACCAAGGTTGCGAGGTCAAGAGGACCCATGGCACAGCCTTCCCCACCTCCACACAGATGCTCTAACCCTGTCCCTAGCTGTGCCAACCCCTCCATCTCCATGTCGTCCTCAAGGGACTGCATCTCCCCCTTCCCCATTGTGCCCATATCCCTCCTTGCTGGCTGGGGTCCAGGAGGGACCTTTGGGGAAGGGTTGTGGGAAGGACAGGACGGGACAGCTGGGTGACTCTTCTCCAGAGCACTGGGCTGTGGTTCAGCTTTTCCCCAGGGAGGGAAGTCTGGAGCAGAGGGTCTTGGGGGAGATCTGGGGGGCCTGCAGCAGCCAGGGGAGGTGGCTGGGCTTGGAGGAAAAAGGCAGGCTGAGGCAATGCTGCCATCTCCTGGTCCCACCTGCCTGGCTCAGCCCCCGCCAGCATCTTACCAAGCCCAGAGCCCACCTGGAGACCCTCCACTGTAACTCTGAGCTTTGGAGATGTCCACACAGACACTGGCCGGTCCTTTAGAGGCCAGTGCCACCGACGGGAGCGTGACCTGCGCCACTTCAGTGGCAGTGTCCCTTGTCCCCTGCAGATATAAGGCAGGCTTCCTCCCACCTAGCCATCCCCCCCTCACCAGCCATCCCTTCTGCCTCACAGGGCTGGAGTCTGGGTTTTGCACCATCCCTCGTGTCCCTCGCTTGGAAAAGGCCCAAGAGAGCTCCTTCCCTGCGGAAGCAGAGCTGAAGCGCTCGGACTCCCTGCTCTCCTTCCGCCTGGACCTGGGGCCCTCCCTGATGAGCGAGCTCCTCCAGGTGATGAGGTTCTCCGAAACCAATGGGAGCGAGGTGGGGGAGGATGGCACAGACCTCCCATGTGGTGAGGGGACCAAGGACGGGGTGCCTTCAGCATCGGGTGCATCCCACAGAGAGGACAAGGCAACATCCAGCTTCTGGGACCGCTCTGGGCAGAGCAGCCTGTCGGGGGCCAGCTCACTGCTGGGACTGTCAGTCCATGCCAACGGAGAGGCACATGCCATCGAGGGTGCTGGAGAGGACCCTGCCTGGGCTTCAGGGCCAGGGGCAGCACCCAGAGGGAGCCCGTGGCAGGGGCACTGGAACGACTGCACCATCGAGGCAGGAGAGTTTGACCGGGCGGCCCAGGTCCTGGCCCGCCATTACGGTGGGACCAGCACCCCACGGAGCTCAGAGAAGGGCGAGGGTCCCCGGCAGGCCCGGACGCAGACCCTGTGGGAGAGCCCCAGCAGCAGCTCGTGGCAGTCGCAAGTGACAGGGGAGAGCCGATTCCCCGAGGCCACCTGGAACCAAGGAGAGGAGGAGGAAGAGGAGGAGGAGGAGGAGACCACCAAGATCTCTAGCCTGCAGGAGGGGTACGCTGGTGTTCGGGGGGGCCGCAGCAATTCCTTCGAGTATGCCGATGAGGAGGAGGAGGACGATGAAGTCAAGGTGTGAACAGCCATCCCTCCCGTCACGGCCCCCCATCACAGGCACCAGTGCCCGGGGTCTTCGCCCTCCTCCCTGTCTCCAACCCTCAGGTGCCAGCATTGCTGGCAGACCCAGTGGGTGACCTTCTTGCCAAACTGGGGGCACTGGGGGGCAGTGGGGGGCAGGAGGAGAGCCCGTCTCCGGGGGGCCGGTGAGGGCTGTGCATCGCAGTGACAGGTGTCACAGCCCTTCCCTGGCCTCGCTGCCGTTAGACGCCAAAGGGACATTCCCATGTGCCAAAGAAACCCCAAACCCCTTCCCACCCCGTTCTCCCCGGCGCTCTCTTTCATCCCTCAGCCTGGCCCTGCCAGCATGTCTGGGGATGTGCTGCAACCTCCCACCAAAGCCCCAGCCGCCCTCTGCGCTGGCATGGGTGCCCTCCCGGAGATACTCCTACTGATAGCCCTGGCACGTAGGGGGTGGGGGTCTCTCCAGCTCCAGCTGGTGCAAGACCCTCCCATATAGCACGTCTACCAGGGAAGGTCAGCTCGGGGCTCAAGGGGCAGGCAAGCCTACAGAACTGGGCTTTCTCTTTTCCCCTCAAAAAAAAAAAAAAAAGCCATGAGCTCAGCGTTAAGGAGGTAAGAGCAGGCACAGAGATAATCGCAGGAGTCTTTCCACTTGCCTCCTGCTGCTGAGGATCACTTAGGACATCTCCTTTTGCAACCCGCATCCCATTGCAGTAGGGAGGGGAGAAACTTCTTGGCTGGCTGGAGGCAGAGGCGGGGTTGTCGGGACACCAAAGTCTGCAGTTTGGGCCCTAAGAATCCCTTCCCCTCACCTTGGAACAAGGAGACTCCCTCTCTGTAGCCACTTGGTCTGTGCCACCTCTTCTCCGTCCTCGCCCCCCCCTCCCCACTCCACGCGCGCGCACCCCTCTTTCCAGTGCACCCCTTCCCAGGGGTACGCGTGGAGGATGGCTAATGCCTCTCGCCGAGTGGCCCTGGGCGACGTGGCCGCCCTGGAACAAGCTGCCCCCCACGCTGCCCTGCGTGCAAACAGGCCCTCACAGAAGCGCCTTTGTGCCATGGCGTGGAGCCGAGATGCTCGGGGGCTGAGGTCACCAGAGGGACCCTCACAGGACCTGCCTTGTTCTCCGGGACAGGAGAGGGTGTGCGGCGCGGGGAAATGCTGGGCTGTGGCTGCAGGGCTCCGCTCCCACGCGGCTCACTCGCCGGCCGGCTGCTTCTGGCAGGGAGCCCCTCAGAGCAGAATAAAGAGGCTCCGGCATGCACACGTGTTATACGTGGGAGTGCTGCTCGCAGTCAGGCCATCAAGGTTACAGCCAAGCCCATCTCCCCCAGCCTCCCCAGGCAGCTGCCTCGCACCAGCCAGCAGCAGCAAGCCAGGGCAGGCAACAGGTTCAAGGAGTCCCCAGCTCCGGCCACTGGCACCCAGTAGGATCAGCCTTCGCCACCCCTGGTCCCTCTGGGACAGGGGCCCTGGCTCTCAGGACGAGGTCCCCCCATCCTCCACTTCCAGACCGTAACACAAGCTCCAGACCAAAGACCCACATCCATGGAATATCCTTCCTGCCTCCACTCTGTATCCCATGCACTTATTATTGTCCTTATTAAAGCAGTTTTGATACTAACTTCTTCTCTGGTGCCTCCCCTTAGCTGCAGTGACCTTATCATACCCCTTGCTATGTCTGCCAGTGCCCCAGCCATAAAATCCCATCCTCTCCACTCTCAGCAGGATTTTCCAGCTCCTCTGGGGTCCCTGGATTAACTAGCCTGGTACTTTGCCACTCACTGTAGCTAACACACAAAGCAACCTCCTATGCCCCTGACCCCACATAGCACACAGGAGGGCGCAAAGCTTCCTCTCCACCTGGCAACAATTCATTTGCAGCCTGAAGCAGATCGGTACCCTTCCCAAAGCTGGCTTGGCTACAGCCCTTCCAGCCCGTCAGGCATCCTCTGCCCGTGCGCTCAGGCAGCAGCGAGTCCGGTGAGTTGGGCAGCGAGGAAGTGGAGAGGGAGGGCAGGGGTGCTCCCACCTTGCCTTGGACTGGGCTCTCTGTAAGATGCTCTTCTACTCTGCTCACCTCCCACCCAGCCTAAAGTGCCCTGATGTTTGCTGTAGGTCTCACTTAAGGCTGATGAGACGCTTTTTACTTAGAGCAGCAGCATCTGATAATCAGCACTAATTGCTTGTAGTCCCATGCGAGGGACACAGAGTGGGAGGTGCTGAGCCACGTAACCCAGCCCAGACCCTGTCCTCCCGCCCCACTGCCTTCCCCTGCCTCACTTTCACTGAGTAGGGTTCGGTGTGGAAATGTCAGAGTAATGGGTAACCCAGCTGGAATGTGCCAGCAAATCAGGGAAGTGAGATAAGGGGGAAAGTTGGAGCAGACAACTCCTTATCACTGGCAGGGAAG